CTTCTGAGTCTTCAGAATCATAAAGCAGTGCAAGTTTGAGGGATCAAAACTTCGTGCAAACTTAATTTCTTTTTGCAGTCTTGTACGTGAGCTGCCTTTCTGAAATCATTTCTAGTAAGTGAATTAGATCTGATGAAATTATTGTGGATTATCATTAATGCAGCTAATATTAGTCATCTATTTTAGACCGTAAATCTTCTTCCTAGAGTGTTCCCTTTAACATGGTCCTGTTAATCGAGTCAACTGCCTCCACATTTTCGGCCTTTGGACAGTTGTAAACTGTACATATGGATTGGAAAATTTCACATCTCTACGGAATACTTAAAGCGTTACTGTACGTCACCGTATTATTTATGAACAAAGGTGAGCGTCTCGTTGAACCGCTCTTGACTAGATACTGTATGCACTGCCCTATCCTTTGCCATTCCCTTCCACGATTACAGCTACGTGCTGTTCACATGCTCTACGTGAACCTTTTCGCTTGCTTTAAGGTACTTAGGAAAACTGTAATTTAATTAATTGTTTAGTACGGTAAAAATATACTACTGCGCGTTAATATTTTTCTTGAAATATGAAATTACTTCATAAATAAATTACTTAGGTCAACTAAGCTTCTCGATGTCAATGCAGTTTTGAATGTGCAAGAGTTCATATTCCAGCCAATAGAATTGGGATCCGTGATAAGTTACAAGCAAAATGCATGAAAGATCACTTTACCGTGGAATACTCAACGAACGGCCTAGCATTTCTTCGTTTGCATTTGATCATTATTGAGTGACAAACTGCGAGCTAAATTTCAATGCTCGACATATAATCAAGTAAATTAAAACTAAGAGTCGTTGATAACAAACTTAAACGAGCCAGTGGTGAATTCAGGCATGAAAAGCAAAAAAGTTCGAAAGTTAGAAAGGCTACGAATTCAGTGTGAGATAGCTCTGGATTACGTCATAAAATTTCATACCGAATTCTATTTTTCACAGCCGTGAACCAAAAAATCGCGTGGGAGGCAATTCAAAACATAATCAATTGTGCTTATATAATCAGTTTTTCCGAAGAGTTAATTGATAGCACTCTTAGTGCGTCAACTGAATATTTGATGTTTTAGTTCCTCATGGACGAGCTAGTGAATGAAGTACCGAGGCTGGTTCAAATCAGTAAGCACGTCTGTTCATCATTACATTCTGTAGATGGCATTTTAGTAAAATTAATTGAAAAGCCGTACGTGCGAATATCGCAATCGCCTCAAAATGCCATGGTGACCGAGGGTGACAGACTGCATCTGCACTGCGAGGCGAACGGCATACCTCCACCGCGCATTTACTGGATGAAAAACGGTGAGGTAGTGCGACAGGACATTTCGCAAGACGAGCACAACACGGTCGACATGATGATGAACGTTAACCGCAAGGCAGTGCAAAACGGAAATACCGCTGGCGAGCTGGTCGTCGATTGCGCTTCGGTGCAGGACCTTGGACAGTACCAATGTTTCGCGACCAATGGCCTAGAGGTCGTCAGCTCCAAAGCCACAGTGTTGGTGAGAAGCGCTGACGGTGAGTGGCGTTGCGCGGTAGCTGACAAGTAGGCTCCATACAGTAACTCTTTCAACGTCAAACAATCACAAGGCTTCGAAGAGAAAACAGCTCTTTCATGGTATAAGACTTTCAAATTATGAAGGAAACTTCATCACTTTTGCACAATGCCATCAGACTCACATGGAAACGGCTAATCCGTTGGCATTCGACTTTATCCTACTGCTTAGTTCATTCTAGGCGAAAGGAGCAGTTCAAATTATCTTACTAGATGTTTTGCTTAACTGAAGTACACACATGATATTGTCCTGGGGACTGATCATGTCACTTGACAATTTCCTTAAGCGACACAGCTGTCAAGCTGGGCAGAAGTCCAGAGTTATGAGGAAGCCATGTGGCATGACCT